GGCTTTACCCGGGGAAAGGTTTTCCCCTCCTCCTAACGGCAAAAAAAAGCAGAAATTTTATTTCAAAGACAGTAGCAGCATTTTTGACAAGGACCAGGCCTACTGGGCTCTCAGCCCCCCTAGGTTTTGCAACCTTGTTTGCACAGTTACTTTTTAAATGTGTTGAGTTCAGGACACCCCCACAGGAACAGAGTTAAAAAAAAACTTTTTGCTTTTGCTGAAGGATCAAGCACAAAGCAAACTAGATAATTATTTGTTTAATGACCCAAATTTAAAAGTCTCCCCTTTACTTTTAAAAACCCGCTATTTTTTTCACAATAACCCAAAAAAAAAAAACTCTCTAGACAAGGGGGTTTCCCCAAAATAAGCCTGTGTCATTTGGTCCGGGAATTTCGGATCCGGCCTTCCTCCTCATACCAGAGAGAATTTAGTGTAATTTTTTTTTTTATATTTTGTATTTTCTGGGTTTTTGGAAATTTTTCTTCAACCACCAGGGGGGCCCTTTAGAGTGTTAAACTAACTTTCCCTCCCAAAAATATACTTTGTCATTTCCCCGTAACCGTTTTTCACTCAAAGGGGTTTTTTTTTTTCCTTTTCCCCTTTGGGGAAAAATCTATTCTAAAAGCGAAAAGGGGGGAATTTTGGCCTAGTCCGCAAAAAACCCCCCCCCCCCCCCCCCCCACCCCCCACCCACCCCCGTCGACAGTTTCAAAGACAGAACAGCCCCCCCCCCCGACAAAAATTTCTAAAGGGATCTTTCTCCAAAAACTAAGACCGGCCCCCCAAAGCAGAGAAAAGGGAAAAGGGTTAAAGGGTTTTTTTCCCTCGCGGAAAAAATTTGGGGACCCCTGCTCTAGGGCTATTCTCTACTAATACACAATTTTAAAACCAAGGTTGGGGGGGTTTGTTAAACTTTAATGAAGGGGGACTTTACAACTTGTATGATTTTGGATAACACTAGAATTGTTCTTTATTGAAGTTTCACAAATCAGATAAAGGTTTTACAAACCCCACACTTGGTTTTAAATATTCTGATATGAGTTGAGAATAATCTAGTCCAGATTTGAAGAGTCTAGGTGTTGTAGTTTTTTAGCTAGAGTAAATTAAAGATGCTGATTGTAGTGAAAAATTAGGTGGAATTGCCCTTTAGCCATTTCCCAAATTGGAAGCAGCAATTGGAAACCAACTTCAGCTTCATTCAAGCAAGAGGGGCTAACATACAGTTCTCTTAATGTTAATGATCAAATACTCTCATAAGTGATGGTGGCGTTGGCTGTAGGAGTTTGCTTTGCAATCGGTGGATCGCCAGATCGATGCCTTGTCTACTGCTGAGATTTCAGTTTGGTGTATTAAAGGCATTATTAAAAAAGAAACCAGAATATCACACCAGCATTCTGTTCTTTGTAAAAAATTCTTTTGCAGTCTTGTTTACGCTTTTACATTGTAGATCTAAACATCAGCAAAATTTGTAATTTTAGCTGATTGCTACTGTTAAGTTTAGGGTAATTAACTGCTGGCAATATTACAATTTTTTAAGAACTTTACAATTACTTATATTTTTACACTATATTTCTGTATTTTCTACATTCGTGACTGTCACAATTATTTAGGATATATATTTATTCAGTTATGATAATGCCATGTATTTTCTACGGCAGTATAATGCTGTGAATATTCTGGTCAGTAACTGCTGGCATTTTACAATTTTTTACCGTAAATTTACTGACTTTCTTTGCAGTTTCGACTTACGGTAGTTTCATGTAATTCTACGGTAATGCAACGTTTTTGGGTACGACGGTCAAAAACTGTTGGTCTTTTACCATTTTCTTACCGTAAATTTACTGACTTTCTTTGCAGTTTCGACTTACGGTAGTTCCATGTAATTTCTACGGTAATGCAATGTTTTTGGATACGACGGTCAAAAACTGTTGGTCTTTTACCATTTCTTACCGTAAATTTACTGACTTTCTTTGCAGTTTCGACTTACGGTAGTTCCATGTAATTCTACGGTAATGCAACGTTTTTGGGTACGACGGTCAAAAACTGTTGGTTTTTTACCTTTTTTTACCGTAAATTTACTGACTTTTTTTTACAGTGTAGTTAAATCATTCAGATTACTGATTTCTTTATTCATTTTTCTCCATGTTTACCTCAATTGACACTTCATACCTTTCCTTCCCTTATGGACATGTGGTGAAGTTTCTTGTGACTTTTAATGGCTAAAGATAAAAATTGAGCTTTGCACATAATGGCTGTCATCATGTTGTTAATGTCCACTTCCTAAACCCATGATCCCTCTGCTGACTGCCTCTGCCTGACTTCAGTGTGAGTTTTCTTTCCACCCAGGCAACTTCTCCTCATCTGGTTTCAATTTACACAAAAATGTATTTTTCAGGGTGAAGTATTGGCCTATTAATATGCAGTCTAAAATTTTTAACCCTTTAAAACCAATTGTATCATATTTGATACATGAGCTTTTTAGATCTTTACATCGTCAGTTTGATCAAAAAATGTTTTTTACACACATAGTGCTTTTAACTTTTCTGGGTTTTGCTTTCTAGGGACTAATTTCCTCATGTATCTGATGTTTTTGTTTTGCTGCATATCCAACTGCATTTGAGCTTAATGTTACAGATTGATGGTCTGATATTCTTCCTAAGGACTTTTAGGTGAAGCTTGGACCCCCACATTACTCTCACTATAGTGTTCTTTTGGTTTTGTGCCTAAACTTTGTTAGAAGTTGGTCAATCCTGGGGAGTTTTATTTCTGTTCTGTGCTTGTTTCTGTAGCTTCTCAGGCCTTTAGGGTAGCTATTCTTAAACCTTTACTTAAGAAATCATCTCTTGACCCAGATGACTTGGTCAATGATAGACCCATATCCCGTCTTCCTTTCTTATCCAAAATACATGAGAAAATTGTTGCTTAACAGGTTTTTGACCACCATAATTTACTTTTTGTAGAGTTTCAACTTGGCTTTAGAGCTCATTATAGCACTGAAACAGGTGAAAGTCAGTAATGATATTTTCATGGCCTCAGATAATAGGCTTGTATCTGATTGATTGATTGATTGATTGATTGATTGATTGATTGATTGATTGATTGATTGATTGATTGATTGATTGATTGATTGATTGATTGATTGATTGATTGATTGATTGAGCTGCTCAGCTCCTCTACAGTCTGGTGCAGAGGTTGGAAGGTGTTGTCCATGATGGATGTAAGCTTGGACAGCACCCTCCTCTAAGCCACTCCAGAGTCCAGAGTGCAGTCTAGGACAGAAACGGCCTTTCTCACCAGTTTGTTCTGTCTCTTTCTATCCCTCTCTGTGCTGCCAGGGGCCCAGACAACAGTGTAAAGGAGAGCTGTTGCCACCACAGAGTCATAGAAGGTTTTAAGCAGAGGCATTTAAAACCCATATTAAAGAGATTTCTAGAATTTCCTTCTTTTTTTCTGATCATTCCTTATATTCACTAATGAAACACACTCTCAATCTGCAAGTGTACTAGTCTTTCCTAGGATTTCTAAAAGTAGAATGGAAGGCCTAACTTTTAGTTATCAGGCTCCTCTCCTCCCTGGTGGAACCAAGTTTTAGTCCGTGAGGCAGACACCCTGCCTACTTTTAAGGCTAAACTTAAAACCTTCCATTTTTATAAAGCTTATAGCTAGAGTGGCTCAGGTTACCCTGGGCTATCTCTATAGTTATACTGCTATAGGCTTAGACTGCTAGAAGACTTAGGGATCACTTTTCATTCTGCTTCATTCTGTCTCTATTCTCCCATTCCACAGTAGTTGTTAAGTTCCAGGCATAAAGTTATGCTCTCTTTGCTTTTTCTTTTTAGAGTAGCTTCATCTGGTCTGTTCTCGTGTGGCATCCTGGAGAGAAATATCAGCTGTGCTGCAGCCATCACCACCTTTATTTATAGATGTTGGAGCTTGACCTGTTTTCCAATATTTTCATGTTACTGTGACTAACTGCTCTCTTTCATCCTCTAATATGGGAACTGGCTCGGAGCTCATTTGCTTGGCTGTTTCTTTTCTGGACGGGGACACTTGTGGAGCCTATTACTGGTTACCGTTTGTATGTCTGTTTCTGTCTCCTTGAACCCCCAGTTGGCCTTGGCAGAAGGTCACTCACACTGAACCTGGTTCTGCTGGACAGTTCTTCCTGTTCAAAGGGAGTTTTTCCTCTCCACTGTCCCTCCCTGCATGCTTGGTTTGAGGGGTTGCTGTTGAGTCAATAAGTCAATGCAATCAGCTGGTTTTCCTTAGATAGTAAACTTTGAACCCATCTTTATGATCTGGTTGAATTGCCTCCGTGAAAATGCCTTGAAATGACATATATGAATTGCTGCTACATAAATAAATTGAACTGAATTTAATTGGTGTTTGTGAAATTATGTGATTGCATTCCAAGTGTTTTTTTTTCCCTGCAAACCATACTGTATATCCTTCAAGGGATAATAGAAGTAAAGTTGAAGTTCTGAGTTTTCTCCAATGACAAACCCTTTCCCTTAATAGATACAATTTTGATTTTAAGCTAAATTTCTGTATTAACTTTAGTTATTTTTGTCTGCTTATAAAATTGGCTCAACAATCTAAATCCTTTAGTTTGAACAAAAACTGAATAGATGGTTTTATTTGAGTCAGATCTGCATCTAAAAAACAATTTCAGCTTCAAAATTTGACACAAACTAAGGGCATAATCACACCGTCTATGTTTTGATTTAAGTATTTAAGCTCAGTATTTGTTTCTCCCTTGATCTGGACAATTTTTGCAGATATGAATAAAATCATGCCAACGGTGATCCATAATAACAGCACAAACAGGCAGCACTCAGGACTTCTATGATATTTCTCCTCTATTTCCAGGTCAGAATCAGAATCAGACATACTTTAATAATTCCAGAGGGAAATTACAGTCTGTCCATTTCCTCAGTTCCCTGAATAGGAACAATGGTCATAAAAAAAAAACAATAAAAAAAAACAACTAAAAAAGATAATAAGGTCTGCCTTTGGTCCAAACCAAACAAACCCACCAAGGTACTTTTATGGTTTGAATTTACGCTGAGATTATTTTATTTGTTTACATAGGTCTTGAACAGACAATTACAGCGGGACAGAAGTCATGCTTTTTCAGCAGTATTCGTCACTCGTAGCCTCTCCTCTGCATGTAACAGATGCACCGAGTCCGTCAGTTTTGCAGTTGCGTGTCCTGCTGCGTCTCCCGCCTCTGCATGAGGACCAGGGCGACCAGCAGGCCCAGTTACCCTCCTGATGAACAACAGGCCTTGAACCTATTAAATATTATTGGTATTAAAGGTATAGAATGTGGAAAAAAAGTCAAGAGAAATATCAGTTTTAATGTTGTATATTGTACTTCCCTACCTTGGTGTTGAGCCTTATCTGCCTTGAAGTTCTGGCACGCAAGACCTTCAAACTCTCCAGAACACATACAAATGCACTTTCCATCTATTAAAGCAAGAGTTCCCCCATTTTTGCATGGCTTGCACTTGCATATGTTGTACTCAGCAACATAGTCTTCTATAGCCCTCTTAAGGTTTGTGATCCGGCTGTTTGCGTCTGGTGTGTCCACTGGAATTAACATGTAGATAGGCTCTGGCTGATAAAAACAACATATTTATTGCAGGTGGAACGAAAAGCAAGTTATTTAGATGTGTAGTTTTGAGCATTAGTTGAAAATATTGAAGCCTAAATGACCTTTGAACCATTAAAGTGAACTATGAGGTAGTGGGTCTGTATTGCTTTCTTGAAATGACTGTCAGATTATCTAAAAAAAAAACAATTGTACTAAATGTAAATAAAACAGAAGCAAAAAATATCCTCGGTCATTCTAAGTTTTTCAGCATAGATGTTTGCTATACAGTGTTTCAGTGTAAGGAAGTTGTCAAAATAAAAACACTGTTAAAATGGAAGCCTTTTATATTCCTGTAAACACAGAAGCTGGTGTTAGTAGATCACCACAGCTAGAGAACATTTTTTAAGTAACTTTTTCTGGGTTTTCAGTCCTGTTGAGGATGTTAGAGTGTGGATTTTTTCCTAATTTATGTGTACAATATTTAGAATATCTATTCATAAATATGTCTAAAAGGCCTCCAGTAGCTTGTACCTGGAACTTGACCTGGAAGATCTATGAACAGTCCCAATTTCAAAATTCACAATGGATACTATTCATAACAAAACAAGGAAATAACATTTTTTAGCACTTCTAAATGTTTGTATTCAATTGAAACCAGTTGTACAAACATTATAGTACAACCACTGTTTGTTTGAAACTGTTCCTTTGCTGCTTAAACATATAAGAAGAGAAACTGTCAGCTAATCACAACCAAAGAAAATATAGTTTGTTATACCACCAACGATCAAATTCATTGTGACACCATTTTTAGATCTGCTAAGTAATTTTCGAGTAGTAGTTTCCCTACGGGACCTTTTGGAAAAAGCACTGTTGTAATCACTGGCTCCTCTCTTCGTGCCCTGGACACCACAGTCACAGATCACTATCAGTTTTAAAGCAGGCAGGAAACTTATTTCATAAACACATAGCCAAAGAGGTGGATATTATTGTACAATATCAAATATATATATACAAAGTAAACTACTGTATGCCAGCCTCTTCGATGCAAATGTTCAGTTTTATGCAAGTCAGTGATGTGTAAGTCTGCCCCCCAAGAAAAATGGGTTTTAATTGAATTCATTTGGAAAAACTGATAAATGCCATTTTTGAAAAAAATGAGATCAGGCATCTAATTTACAATTTGTATGGCGCTGGAAATAAGAAGTATGTTTTTTTTTTATATTATATATATAAAACTTAGAGTTATTTGAACTCTTAAATTGCTCTCATAATGTGATTCAGCCTTTCCATGTTTTATAGTGACACACTAAAAACCATGGTGAAGGCTAAAATAATGCTAGGTAATTTAATATATCGTCTTATAAATCCTTTTAATGGAAACTCATCTAGGTTTCTATGAGCTGACTATGCCACAAACCACCTGGTAGTCTTGTCTTGTGGCAGCTCATTCTTGCAGTAAGATAAATAGCTCTGTGAAACCCAAATGCAAAGCTATTGGTATCAATAGCCATCAAATAATCTTCAGAAAGGAAGAGAAAACCTTTTTTTGGATATGGACAGGGCTTGAGCAAGACTAGGCAAGGTATTTACTCATAATTACTTTACTAATTTCATGTGTTTATGACATTCCAACTAAAGATTATAAGCCAGATCAATCAAATGTCAATTTATGTCAAAATAAACAAACATTCTTAGTTTTAAAACACAAAAAGTATCACTTAATCTATTTAGGTATTCAACATTAATATTCTATAAAACTTTGATTTTGTCATCTCCTGAGACCGGCTTGCTCAGGAGGAGTTATATCTTTTAAAGCAAGTTTGAAAAAGAAAAAGTATTGCCGGTTGTTTGTTGTGGGTACCGAGATTAAAGAGCAATTGGTCATTAATTAAAAAACTGGTGTAACGGAATTACTTGAGATGAAATTATGTTTAGTTGTTTGTTTTTACTTGACAAGAGAGTTTGAGTTTCTGTGAATGGAGAATGTAATAAAGGGCATAATTTCAGTGTACAATGCACAAATCAAATGCAGTTACCGTGGCAATTCCACACATCAAGATAGAAATGGTGATGAAGTGATTTTGTTAATAGTCATCATGCAAGTTAATCTACTTTAAGGTTTTTTTATAAATATGATTTTAAAAGTTTTAAAAGCTCTCTCAGTAGATTTGCGTACTACGAAAAATAGCAATTTTGCAATATTCATGTTTAAACACAAATGTACAGATTGGTGTAACTAAGATATCCCAACATATTAGGGATGGGACGATTTATGAAAATCGTCCAAACCGTTCGGTTCGATTCGCGTGTGTCTCGTTCGGTTCATGCGCTGCTCCTTTTTCTCATAGGCAAAGCATTTACACTCCCGAGCAGAAGGTGGCGGTACTGCGACCAAAGCCAACCACCAGTAGTAAACAAGAAGAAGAAGCGAAGCAGCTTAGCCGGGTGTAGCAGGGAAAAAAATCAGTTGTTGTGGAGAATTGTGTTGGAATGGCGAGTGGGAAAGAACAGGCGTTGGAAGACGCGCCAGCAGCACTTTATAGGTCTGCTGTATGGGAGCGCTTTGCATTTAGAGTGAACTACGATGACGGCGGAAAGAAAGTTGTGGATAAAAGTAAAACAGTGTGTAAGCATTGTGCAACACGTTTTGTTTATGCTAAGAGCAACACGACCAACATGTCATGCTAACCCCGAAATCCCTCATACTCCGTCCAGCTCCGCCCCGCTGCGCTCCAGACCGGCTGCTCAAAGCAAAGCCTACAGCCCCCAATGTGGCTCCTGTCCACTGCCCTCTGAGTCCCTTGGAGATGGTAGAGAGCATGCGCCAGATGATTAAATTCAAAGCAGCAAAACATACGGAAATGATCCAGGGTTTCCGTGGATCATTTAAAATAATTACCATCCATTATTTTTTGGGGGATTTTTTCATTAATTTCATAAATTTTTATGGGATTTCGGTGTAACAATCAACATATACCGAACCGAACCGAAGCGAAAACCGTGACCACGAAACCGTGAATCGAACCGAACCGTGGATTTTGTGAATCGTTCCACCCCTACAACATATATATATATATATATATATATATATATATATATATATATATATATATATATATAAGTTCTGGGAAGCTACGTCGTTCGAAATCAGCTTTTGAACACCCTCTGTCCTAAGGGATCCCTTTAAGGGTTTAAGGGCACTTCTCCCAAGCTCTTAAAATTATTGGGACACACCACCCTTACAAGTGAACATGCAAAACTGAGTGCTAGGGCCCAGAACGAGTGCAAGTGATAGGATTGGGATAGGACCTTATAGTATTGACTGTTAGCCACTACAATCAAAGTTCCTTCAGTAAAGGTCCAAATGCTGCCATGCTGCCAGAGTAGAAAGCATTTTGGTGATATGATCAAACTATAATATCAGGCTAAGAACCAAAAGCTATTTTTTACTGCTAAACATTAAGTTCATCTGAAGAAATTTTTTAAAACTTTGGCAAAAGTCTAACCTTTGCTTACTGGGGTTCTGATAAGCATATACCCTGAAGCTGTTGTATAAATTTTGTTTGTGAAGTTCATTGCTAATAAATTTAAATTAAGAATTGATAAACTACAACATATTGCACAAAAATGATTTGAATTAATCTCTTTCAAGAAATAAGAATCAAAACTTGAAGAGTCACTCCATCATTCCTACCTCACTGTTAATCAGCGCAGGAGAATCTGCAATGGACCTGGCCCAGCTTCTGTACGTATCTAGATTCATGACTCCCTCCTTATTCAGTTGAGCCCTCATAGTAACAGCAGTTTCAAGAGTTCCTCCTTTGACTGAAGTCATCACCTTATCCACCAATGCCTCTCCTTCGTAACTAGCTGTGCAGAGCAGGATGGGAAATGCAGTCAGTTTCATATAATTATCACATATTGCATCACATTTTTAAATTAAATTTTCATTACAAATTGTTCCCAATAAGCTGAGCTATTTTTTTTTTTTTAGGTAGTTCGGAGACGTGGATGTTTATGGGAGTTTTGACAAATACATATGACTTGCAGTAACACATACATTAGGTGGGGGGAAAAAAACAGTCTGATCAATAAGAAATAGACCTGTGTCTGTTTTTGGTGTAGTTTCACAGTTCTCGGGCCGAACATGTCCTTTTACATCTCCTCCAGATGGAAGAGCAAAGTCTCCAGAAACCCCAACCTTAACACATTTTTGGAGGCTTCTTGCTGTTATATCTGAAAAAAAATCAAATAATAAACATTGCAGCTATACATCAGTTATCTACTTTCTCAGTAAAAAAAAGGCCTGAATAGGTATATCACAGCTAATTAAAGACCAGAACATTGGGCCTCATGCAACAACATTTTCCAATTCTTGTCATATATTTCTCTTACTGTTTCTCCTACCCTGGGTTTTTACTAATGCTACGCATTGAAGAGGAAGAGGAAAAACTTTAAACATTCGCAGATCAAGGCTCCGCTGACTGATAACTGAGCAGCAGAATTAAAGGACCAGTAGAACCCAAGTCGTAGGAAATAAATTTCAAGAGCTATAAATGATGTGGCTGCAATGTAAGCTAACTAAAAATAAAGTGAAAGACAAAAATCATTTGATCAGGAAACAGTCAATAAAAGCTATTGATGGATGCAAGAGATGCAACATATGATGTAAATGCCTAATACGGGTTCTCCATCAACAGATACTACCACTTTCTGCAGAATCTCATTTGGAGATATAGCCATTTAGTGAAAAACTTGGTTTGGATAACAGCTGACTGATTGCTAAAGATTCCTACGTCAGGTCTGAAGCACTCATATTGTTTGTTTGTTCGTACTTGAAAGATTAGAAATAGAAGAAAAACTGTGAATGCAACATTTTCTCCTAAATCACTTGTAAGAACGAGTTAAAAATGAATTGTTTCTTACGAACAGTTCTTGCATGAGGCCTGTTCAGTTTAATACAAATGAATAAATCAAATACACACTTTTTGCTTTGATGGTGTCCTGGTTTAGTACGTAGATCAATTCGTATTCACCGCCAGACTTCCCAGTTCTGGTGTAGTGCGTTCCATAGTCTTCCAGGAAGGCAAAGTAAATACCCTTTTCATAGACCACGGGTAGTGATCTAACATGGATTAGGAACTCCTCAGCAACCATGGGCTCACGTGAACGCATCCTGTAGGTGCTCAGCTGTACTCTACCTTTCACCCTCATAAAGCTCTTGTTCTAAAGTGAGAAGAGTCGGTAACATAGGTACAAGTATGACACATGTCTTTTATTTCTAAGGTTATGCCTTGGAACTTGTGCTTAACCATTACCTTGATGGTAGAGTACTCTGTGACATCCTTAATAACATTTTTCTTGGAGAATTCAGCCCCAGCCTCACCAGTGACAGTGGTATTGGCCAAGGAGGATTCAGTCGGGGTAAATTTGAACGAAAGCCCAGCATCAACTTTAAAGGTCATCTCTTTCAGCATTTCTTTCACTATCGAGTATGTATCCTTATATATTTCTCTGGAAACGGTTTCCTCCGCAAGAGTCTGAAATAACAGGAAATAATCACAAAAACCCAAAGCCGCTGTTTAAGTAAGACATTACTGTGTCTAACCTCATAACTGAGGACATTCACATTCCAGGGAAGACGGTCGTACTTCCTCGTGCTTGGGTTCCTCGCTCTATCACATCTCCCATTAAAGAAATCATTATTGAAGGGGTTCATTCTAGGATCTGCACCCAAGATGTTGACCCTGGTTCATGGAGGTAATAGTTAATAGTTTACAGTATGTATCAGGTTTGCTTGTACTAAAAGAATGCAAGCTGTGGTAAGTGAGGTAGTGATGAATATTTGTGTTTTTTGTCGGTAAAGAAATCAAAGTTTTTATGTTTCAAAATAAATATTATAATGGTGAAACTGTGCATGACCTGAAAGGAGAATAATTTCTAATCATGGATGTTCCTTGTTAACCTGCCAGTAGCCAGATTTATGTTTAGAACTGAGTTGAGTTCTACGTTATCAATCTGGGACTTTTTCCAAATCCTGTCAGAAGAAAAGCACAGCCATCTTTCCCATCTACGAATGCACAAAGTAATTCTCTTTGCTCCTTTTTTAAATGAGAAATGGTCACTATTTTAGCTAAAACCGAGTCAATTGCGTTGTCCACAGGTGAGTCCTCAAGCGTGGCTATGTTTTCAATGCCCCAGCAAGGCCCTTCTGACTGTCGTCATTCCTACATGTCCCGCCCCCCAAAAAAACTGCTGGCATGGATTTTATCTTGACAGCAATTGCTTATCTCTTGTTCAATATATGACCTACACAAAGTGATTCAGTGTGGAAGGGACTTTATTTTGGATACAATTCTTTTTATAAAAAACAAAGAAGGGAAATTCAGAGCTTTTTGACTTTGGACAAGATAAGAATTAGACAAGCATTTAATCATAACAGAGTCCCTCATCACACCTGAGAAGGTATATTTTAAAGCTATTCCATATTATATCAAGCACAGTATGGTTGGTAAGACTTCTGGTATATATTTTATCTCTTTTATTTTTATTTCTATCTTCATTATCTTGTGTAGTTGGATGTATATATATATATATATATATATATATATATATATATATATATATATATATATATATATATATATATATATATATATATATATATATATATATATATATATATATATATATATATATATATATATATATATAAAACTGTAACTGGAGCGTCTAACAAAAGTAATTTCCCTCCGGGATTATTAAAGTATTTCTGATTCTGACATTCACTCTATTTATCAATACAAAATCTAGGAAGTCTTGATTTTTCTTAAATTATGTTGAAAATCGTGTGTCAATCTTAATTGCTTCTGTATCCTTCTTCTATGTTGAAATTCACTGTGTCTAATAAGAATAATTTGTCAGCAAAGCAGTAAGTATTTCTGACCTCATTAAATGTATGCATCCATAAATGGCTGTTGGTTAAAAAAAATAGCAATACCAAGCATATTTTACACAAAATGGTCAGTTATTATGTCACAAATTTGTTTAAACCAAAATCAATCTGCTGTTTAGTTTTGTTTTCTGGACAGTGACTTTAATGCAATGTACCTTTTTAATGTTACTAATAAACTGTTTTGTTTAACTGATTAGATCAGAATATATTTTACAATGCTTACCCATATCCTGCTGTCCTGGCTTGCTCGTTAGTTTCAAAGTCAGAATTTCCACAGGGTTTACGTAATACGTAACTGCAGTCATTCTCATCTGACCCATCTTCACAGTCATAGTCTCCATTGCATTCCAATCTTTTACTGAGGCATGTATTCAGCTCTGCACACAGATGCAGGTTAGACTGATTGGACTGAGAGAAACAAACCATAGATTAACAATGTTGGTGACTTTCTTTAGTACCTGTAGTGCACTGAAACTGAGAGACACTGCAAAGAGAAGTTGGCTGCTCGCATAGGTCTGAGGTTTGGCAGAATTCTCTGTCACCTATTGATCCCATGCAGGGGTCCCCACCAAACTGGCCAAACACCTCTATGTCTCGTGAACGCCTCTGAAGATCAAAGATATTAAAAAGGCTTCATCAAATCTTTGCAGTTAGACATAAAAAAAGTACATGATGCTGCAAAATGCTGACTCTGAGGGAAAAACTCATTTTATTTGGCAAGTCATAAATGCTTTGTCTGCCTGAAGACTTACTCTGGTTTTAGTGCAAGGATCACAAGAACTCCATTCTGACCACAGGCTCCACTTGCAGTTCACAGCAGGAGGTTCAGGAAGCACTTCTGCCCTGATGAGTAAACATAAAATTCTATCAGACTTTATAGAATTGCTTGTATAATAATAATAACAAAAAAGGTTATATGTCAATGAAACGTCTTTAAAAAAGTATACATACAATCCTCCATCAAAAAGTGTCAGAGTTAGACACAGGGTGCTGAGGCTCAGCAGGAGCTGCCTGGCAGTTATCATTGTGAACATTTGAAAACACCAAAGAGAAACACGGACCTCTTTAAACTGTCTTCCTGTTAATCATTATACTAGCTTTGGGACGTTATTGTTGAAATCAATAGTTTGGATGCCATGTGCAGCATTGTTTATTTAGTGTTTGGAAATCCCCAAAGTAGCTTATTCTGCTAAAAAAAAAAAAATCTATCATGTTAACAAAAACATTTTTTTTTTATAAGGTTGTTGAATCATGTTTGTTCTTGCACTTTCTTTGTACAAATGAACGCAATTTTATTTATAGAAAACAAAGACTAATCTCTACTCTTAAAAACACAAAGATTTTAAGCAATATTAAGTCCCAAGGTCAAAAATATAAAACAAACCATAAACCCTAATATAAGCTGTAATATAACACCCATACAACTTCAGGCCTGAATTTGAATTAATACCTCATAGTTTAGTCATATTAAATGTAGAATGACAAAACTTATATATGATTTATTTGTAATTTTTGAAATGAAATAGAAAAGTGGCATGTGTTTATTTTCTTCCCTTAAAAGTGAACATTGTAATCACAGCTGCAAAGTGTTATAGCCCCAGTCTTTGTACACATATTATTTTAAATATACGGTAGTTGAATTGGATGAAGAGTTTCTGTGAAAAACAGTTTCCAAGTCCAGACAAATATTATTGATTGTTTTACAATACAGGTCTGGACTTTGACTGTTCCTTTCAGTGATATCAGCATTTATCCAGTGTCCTCAGTGTCCTGATCGGTGGCAAACCTATAGCTAACATTTAAATCTGAATTATCTCATTACCAGTATCTCTTATGGACTTGACCATCTGATGTGAGATGTTGAAAGCTAATGATTTTTAGATCCTAACACTGTGCTTTGACATGCTTTTCATTATCCTCCCTTTTCTCTAATTGTTTAGTCAGAGCAGTTATTAAGAATATGCTTATGTAAGGTGTATAATATATCTTTCACTTAGATTTCTTTTTTGGTTTTGCCTCAAGGATATTGGAAGCTACAAACAGTCATTGTTTTTACTGAAACATAAATATATTGAATAATACTTACGTGCATGTGATTTTTTTAAATACAAAAATAATAACTTTTTTGTTGATCTTTTTTTTTGTTTACTTTTGGGAAAAATCTGTTGCTTTATTAATTTCCTGGATTTTGCAACCCTACAAGCATGTCCCGAGTAAAGCTAGCAAATATTTGATGTTTTTGTTTTTTTTAGTTCTTTCACTCACTCTCTCTCTTTTTAAATGTTGAAATACTAAGGCATAATGGGGTCATGGTGCTTCAGGGTCAACATGCAAAATGTAGATATTGACTACAGATGCTAAACAAATCCCAGTCCTCTGATACCAGAACTATAATTATCTTGAAAGATCTTTTGAACTCGTTAGAAATCATGATGCTGTAATGTAAATACTTGCCCACAGGAGGGTAACATTGAGCAGTGAACATCAAAGCTAATGCTTAAGAGAGCTCTGGTGACATATTTTGGTTTCCATGTTGTACAAAAGTGTAATCTGCAGCAGTTTCATCATACAAAACACAGATTTTAGAATCAACCTCGTTAAAAGTCTTCTTTTCTCTCTGTTTAAAATATTAAACCAAGCCTTGCACAAGGTACAGGAAGTTTCAAACTGTTGCACTCACTGACCTGTCATGTGATCTAAGAAGATTTTGCTGAGACTGCGGTACATAAATACCAGAGTAAAGTGTGTCTTGATAATTAATGAGTACAGGACATTTTATTGTGCAGATCTATAAGGAGTCTTAAATTTATAAACAGGCTAAATTATAATAAAAATTGCAACCTTGTTGAAAAAATAATCTTGGTAGTACTGGGAGTTTGGCAAAAGCCTCTGCTTCCCTCTGAGAAAACAAAAAACTGATGATAAAATCCACATTATTCAGCAGGCTGACAAGTATTTTCCTGCTGACTTAAATAAACATCCACAGCACTCCCTGATGGGTTCAAATAGAGTCTAGGGGCTGCTTTGCTGTGATTATCAAATACATTTGTGAGAGGAGTTGGGGTAGTTTGGGGGGTATGTGGTCATAGCCAAGTGAAATAGCACAAATATGTGCTGAGGTCACCACTTTTTTAAGTTTCGGCAGTTTCCTCACTACTTTGTCAGGAAACCATGGGGTAGGTACGGTTCTTGGCCAATGTTTTTCCTGACTAGAAAGACTTCCTGTTTTTCAGAAGAAGGTCGGGAGTTTGCAGAGACGCTTTGAGCACAAGTTCATTTTGTTTTTAACAGGAGTGCCATATCCAGAACAATATGTCACTTGTAGCACTGCTCAGTTTTGTGCTTCCCCCCCTTATTCTTTTTGTCCTGTGAGTTGAAGTTAACGCAGTAGAAAAAAAAAAAAATGTCTACCTCAATTATAGCCCGGGGAGAAGTGATTATTTTAGCTTCTGGCTGTGGTGGCAGAGAGTTCCAGAATTCACGCCCTAAAAGCTTGAAGTTAAAATTGTGTGGCTGGCCTTCCTTTCATAAACAGAGGAAAAGATGAATCTTATGAACTTCTCAGCATTTCATCAAAGAAATTAACCTTCTGATGAGTTTTTTTTTTTTCTTCTATTAAAGGTTGGATTTATGAATGGAAGCCAACAAACCTTTTGAACCACAGTAAAACTTGAAAGAATGTGCTTTTGATGTAATCATTAATGAAAGAATAAAGTCTTCTTAAACCTGTTTAACAGTACATGGCCAAACCCTCCCCACAGTTAAGCCCCCTCATTCACAGCAGCATTACTGACTTATTAGTCTTACCACCAGAGGTGTCAAGTAACAAACTATAAATACTTTGTTGCCTTACTTAAATAGAAATTTTAGCTATCTATGCTTTAATGGAGTAATTATTTTTTTAGACCACTTTTTACTTCTAATCGTTCCTTTTTTTTTTTTTTGCAATTATCTCTACTTTCTGCCCATTACATTTTAAAAATAGGCTCATTAGTTTTGTTTTCTGTTGGTATATTTTACAAAAATAAATAAAAATCATCAGAGTATTTTGTTTCATCCAGATAATTCCATTATGGTTGGACTCGGTACTGCACCAACTTGTTGTCCAGCACATACCAAAATAAATATTTTTTTTCAGATGATGCTAAGTTAAATTTAACATAGTTACCATTAGTTAAAAAACTAAGAATATTGAGTATAACAAAGTTATCCAGAATTTTAGAACAAATTTCCTTTTATAGGGTAGTGCAATAACAATCTGTAAAAACATTTTCCCACATTACTTTTACTTTTATAGTTTAAGTAGTTTTAAAAATTTTACTTTTACAGTTTTACTTGAGTAAAAAGCTTAAGTCTATACTAAATGTTTTTAAAAAGTTGGATTTATACTCTACTTGAGTGATAAACGTTAATACTTTTGTCACCTCTGCTCACCAACATATTTTTTTTGATAAAAAATTATATTATCATTTTCGATGGGCCCGCCCACTCCAGATATAAATCTGATGCAAAGTCATATGCCCCCAAATATTAGTGTTATGGTAAGAAGACCTTTCCAAAGGCTTCAAGTTCAGCACCAAGGATAAAAAAAATCTAAGTTCCAGGATGGGAAATGCTGAATAAAATTTGCAGTTGCTTTAATGACAATAAACATTTTCCAGTGATTATTAAGAGATAACCAAGTGGTTCTAAATGCTTGTCATAGTATGGTAGTCAAGACCGCACCAACCGAGATTAAGGAGTACAGATGGTCTTGTGTTGGTCTTGGCCTTGTCTTTGTCTCTGTACTACTTGGTCTTTTTGGGTGTTATCTTGACAACAACACTAATTTGCCATGCAGAGTTGGATATGTATGTCATTAAGAGCATAGCCAACAAATTGTTTAATATTGGTACCAAAAACCCGGGCCTGCTTTTCAGGCTATGATTTAATTTGACCTCAGACTGGAAAAGATGTAATGTCTAAGAAATTATGTATATCTTAAATCCACTGCAGCTTATATATGATGATGATATATAGAAGTGGAGTTAAAAATCTTTTAATCAGTATTGTCCAAATGTTTCTTTATTTTTCCATCAGCAATATGGAAATGTCTTTAATTAAGCTTCACATAATAATATAACCAGTTATGGAAACATTTTTCTTATGGCTGATTTGTCACAGATAGGGAAAGACAGACTCCAGCATCATCAGTAATCTCACTTAACAGAGACTCATCTTCAAAAATCCAGCTTCTGTCAGCTAAACTAAGGGTGCAAAGCAGGAAACACATCCTTCCTGTCCTTTGCCCCACTCATTTTTCGCTGTCTTCCAACTTACAGAACAAAGAGAAACAGTAAATATCCCTACCATAAAGGCTAGAAATGTGATAATCAAAAGATCTCCCAATACATTTATACAGACTGCGAGATATATGAAGGATTTAAATAGGTGTTACCACAAATGTGGAGAAAAAGAACAGATTCAAAGTACTAATTCAAAATTACATACTTAATTTCAACTGTGGATCTCAATGAAGTTGTCTCTGTAGACGTCAACAATTTTAAGGTGATTTTATTATTTGTATTAGTATTTATTCTTTAAATTAAGGTTAATTAATTGGTGACCTGTAGCTTCATGTTTACATAGTGTAAAGATCTAATGTCAACCTGAAGCCTATTTCTCCTATTTTTACTCCACAAAATGGGAAAGACAAATCAAAAAGCTGTTCACCTAAGTCAGAAGAAGGTTAGAGGATCATAGCTCCTTTCTGAAACTTCCACATATTACCTGTCAGATCAAGAAGTGTATAGTTTCAAGTAACTGGAGCTGTAGGAAACAAGACGGGACCAGGCCCCAAACTGCTCTTTTTACAATCTTGGCACCAAGGAGATGGTAAGTTAAGTAAATCCTCTGATTGTTATAAAAATGTGGTATTTCATCATTGCCAACTTTCCATAACAACTATTAGACCCTATTTACATAGCAGTCAGCTCTTTTGGAGGCTTTCTCCCCCACTGTCCCAACTACAAGCCTCACCTGTTTGCCCCTATTACATACAGTGGAGGATCTGGGCCCATTTCTTCTCCAAATGTCAATGTACACCAGTGATC